ACCGTCTTCATTACTAATTTACTACGCCACTACAGTCGAGCAGCTTCTTTTAGTTTTACTCTCTGCGACTCCAACTTTCTTCATCCAGTCATCATGAAATTCAATGTGCTATATATCCATAAGACCAGTCTTCTCTACCTTCCAGAAATATGCAACTCCAACTTTCTTCATCCAGTCATCTTGAACTTGAGCGGGAACAAAGTGACCACAAAAACTGTTGCAAGAAACAAATTTAAGAAAATTTGAAAACCAGTCAAGTTTTCCAATCATTTATCAATTCATAATAAAAAACACATTTTACATTAGATCATTACCCTTTTTTCCTCTTATAACGGCTCCTTGCTCCCTTTGAATCACCATATATTTTGTTCCACTAAGATATAGCCATGTAGAAGCAAGTTTTCCTGGTTCGTTAAAATCTTGCAGAATGCTTCTATTCATTCTAGTTTAAACTACAAGGCCATCAAAAACAGATATCAGTCATACATGATGTGAAGGTAATAATGAATTCAGATAAAAACCAAAGATGATCTCATAGAGATTGTCGTACAATCGGTGTTTCACTGGTCACATGAAAATAAATTTTTTTCCCTGTTTTTAATCTTTGGGAGGAGGAAGGTTTAAGATGTAGAAAATAAATAAATAAAGAACTTACAAGACATAAAAGGAGTGTTAAGGAAACATCATGTAACAAGCAAAAACTAATGCCAAGAGCATCAATGTAAAGGCATCATCTACCGAGTTTGAACAACAAATATAAGTTTGCTCTAATCTCTCATTACTTCTCTCCTTCGTCTGTCGAAAAATAGAAAAGCACAATGATTCACATCACTGAAATACAGATTGACAGAACATTACAACTCGACAAGAAGAAAACTACACTGAAAATGAAGAGATTGAGAAAAAAAGGATATGTATTGCAATGTGAATTGAAATGCTGACTGTGATTAACATAATAACCAGTGAGGTAAAAACTTCATGGACCAATGACCAAAAAAACCACATCATCAGCCTCCTCAAACTGCAAATCCAAATGGCAAGACTTTGTTAAAGTCGGAAAGATTTTTATTGCAGGTCTTGTTACGGTTTGAAGCTGTTGAAGAGCTGGGAGATGCCAGAGGTGGTGGTTGTGCCCATGAAGCTCGGGAAAATACTATATATGTTGTTCGCTGTTGTTGCTAAAGCAGAAAGTAACCTATCATAGTAGTCCTTCATGTTATGCATGTCGTGACAGAAAGATAACTTCATTATGCATCTAAATTACAACCAGGTTATATAACACAAACTAATTTATCTGAAGTAGTACTATAAGAAATATTCTGTAGAAATACCCTTACGTACTATTTTTTGTGTTTGTAGATCTCGATAATGTTGAAATCCAATTGTTGTCTGAACATGCAATTCCAGCGGACACAATTCTGATTATCCATTAGTATTAGGACGAATGGGGATGTAAAAAATATTCATTACGACAAATATCTAATGCAATCTTCCATCTGTATATAGTCATTATGTCTGATAAAACTAATTCTATTGGATATCTTAGAACAAAACATTCTATGTATGTAGTACAAAAATTGCACAGTTTGGCCTATAGAAGAAATAATTTTACGTTAGACTAAATTAGTACAATGAATGTAAAATTATATTAAACAAGAAATTAAATATTATAGTAAATAGTAAAATGTTTGAATGCTTACCCATTGTTTGCACAAGGTAGGTAAGGTATGATGTCCAACCCCATCTATTTGTTTGTATGTTTCCTTAAATCTGGTCTGTGAGAAGAAAAGGCTGAAGACATCAATACTGTTTGGACTAAACTGAATACTGCATTTACATCTGTCCTGACTTCTTCTGGTGTGTGACCAATGTGGCTGCAATCATATATTTGGAATTTTCATTCACGAAATCAACAAGAAAAATATACCAACTGTTATCTGGATATGAACATGGAATTAATAGATACTTGCATCCTATCCATAGAGAGCCACATATTGGCAATTTTCCATTCATGTACTATTTTAAGATAGTTAGATCCAGAGATCCACTGGCATTTCCTCGTCTTTTTTTATTTTCCACATTATTTGGCGAGTACATTAATTTTCAAATCTGAAGTCGAGAATTGCATGCTCTTTAGAAACAAGGGTGCAACTATCATTAATTAGCCGCCTCAGTAACCTTAACTCCAAGTCAATATTCTGAAACAATAAATAGATGTAAATTAGATATATTAAGTATAGAATGAAATTGATTATGATTACTGAACTTTACTAACTACAACATTCATATCTTTAGTTGTATCCATTATAGTTTTTAACACGTCTCTAGAGATTGCGAGCTCCATCATCCCAATATGCACTTTATAACATAATTGAAATTAGTGTTAAATAAATCAAATGAAAATTATAATATTCAAGCTAATAGAGTAGAATTAGATTTGTTACCCTGATGAATTCCGCATTAGCGAATCTATAATTGTTGTGTACCTCTCCATAAGATAAACTTCTAAAGGATGACGATGAAAATTGTATCTTTTTCCCCTTAGTTTTCTTTTCTTTTGTCAACTTTTCAACACGTTAAATTTGTTGAGATGTTGAGGGGTGCTTTGGTTTGGTACCACGAATTGGACTCCTATGGACATGAACATCTTGTTGTAGAGAAGCTATAACGGTTTTCATGTTTAATTCCTAGTCAGATAGTTTGTTCAACATATTTTTATTTGGTTCAGCAATATAAGATTTCACTAAGTTAAACTGGTGTCCACATAAGATTGTATGCTCTGGTAGTGATCTTCTTGCCATTTTTGCTGCTGTTGGAAAAAATATTTTTGGTTCTCAAGAATTGTCTGGTAGTAGGCCTTTTGTTTTTCTGATTCCTCAGCTATGCATGCGTTAAACAAATTATCGCAGAAACCTGAACTATCCACATAAGATTGCATGCCAGATTGCTGATGGTGATCTTGTTGCCATTTTTGATGTTGTTCAAACAATTATTTTTGTTTCTGAAGAATTGTTGGGTAGTGGGCTTCTTGTTTTCTTGATTCATCAACAATGTGTGCTTTCAAGTTGTGTCNTGGCAACAAGTTCAAAACCTCTTTCGACCCTCCTTTTGTTGGATTAATATTCAGCCATCAGTGGAAGAGTTGCAGGGTGTGGGAATCAAGTATAGACCTTTTTTCCTTGGCACAGATTATCCTTCTTCCTCTGACATGTCGACTTCATTGTGTTTCATTCCATTAGGAAGTTTCCAGTCAAAGTGGTAGAGAAGTTGAGCAAAAGGAAGCTCAATATTTGCTAAGGCAAAGTTCATACCTGGACAAAACCTCCTTCCGGCTCCAAATGGAAGAAATTCAAAGTCACTTCCCAAGAAATCAACTGAATTGTTCTCGAACCTCTCGGGTTTAAAGCTTTCTGCTTCAGGCCAATAATCTGGATGCCCAGATATTAATCATGAGTTTGGTTTTGAGGGGTATAGTGTAGCCATTAACTTCACATTCTTCCCTGCATGCTCTTGGAAGTAAAGGGAGGGTGCAGCCTCATTGTTTCCTTGATGACCAACTTGAGATATTTCAGCGATTGAACATCGTTCTCCTCAAATGTCTTTTTTCCCTCAGTAGTTTCTCTTATTTCAGCTTGTGCCTTTACCATCACATGAGGATGTCCCATCATTTCTGCCATGGCCCAGTCGACTGTGGCGGATGAAGTATCAGTTCCAGCCGAAAACAAGTCCTGCAATCACAACAATTGTTATTGATGTTGGACTAATAAATGCTAAGAAGAAATAAATAACCTTTTATAGATAAAATACTTACAAAAATGATCGGACATTTTTGGGGCTTAAGAGCTCCAAAATGCATACTCTACGCATTTGCCTCCAATACTCGTTGTATGGACTAAAAGCAATATCAGTATAATCATACCACATAATCTTACTTCCAATACTTTCCGGCCTATCAGCACAAGCAGGATCATGAACCTTCAGTACCTCTTTGGCAGCTTCACGTGATGATATGACAATTGTAGGAATTTCACCAAGCTGTAGATGGACGACTGGACCGTACTTTTTAGTTACATATCTTAGAGCAAGATGAGGGAGTGCACCAACCAAGTGGTGCAGGTTTCCGATCAAAGGCAGCTTCCATGGACTTGGAGGTAATTTTATGTTATTATTAGAGGATTTCGGTTTCTTCAATCCCTTAACTAAAAGAAAGATGAAGGAGATGAAAAGTAAGAGAGTGGTGAAGTTGGAGGGAAGAAGCTTAAATTCCATCGTTTTTCCTCCAAGTTCAGTTGTCTGCTTTGTTTGTTGTACTAAATGCACCCAAAATGTCTCGTATATATAGTAGGCTAGTACGTGTATCAATATTGACTGGAATTTGCATACATAGATTTATTATTCTATTTTGATTTTTTTTCACTGACTCTTTAAAATATTGTTCAATGTTATTTTGGTGCATGAATTTGACCGGTATAATATCCATAATTCATATGACATCATTCTTTGTTTTCCACAGGATTATTCTTTCTTAATTTCTGTTGCTTTTCAAAGTGAAAACTTCTTATATAAGAGATAACTATGATCCATCTCAAAACTAAAAAATAAGGTTTAAAACTTAAAAAAATCAGATATTAATTAAATTTTATTCATGAAATGATTAATTAAATATATTAAGGTCACAATTTTATACAATTTACTCACAAATAAAAAAATTTATAGGTCATAAATTATTTCTCGATTACAAATCAAAATAATTATAGGTCACAATTTATTCGTCAGTCACAAATAACAAATTTTATTAAATCACAACTGACCACCATGTGGATCTTCCTGTACTTTTCATCATTCATCTCAGTCCAAAGAAACCAAAATATCAATAGAGGTATGATAGTGCGAATGTGTCCACAACGAACATACTCTCCAGAATACCGCCATTTCTGGAACTTCGTTTGACTTCTTCTCCCAAAATCATAGATATTTGAAAAATATCCCCAAAATGCTGCCATACCTGATCGGAGATGCCACTGACGGTGAAGATGTGATTGATAGTCCAAGTCTCGAAACAACACTGGTAGCGAGAGGCCAATGGCATCAAATCCTCCTCTAAATAACCGCATCTACTAGAATGAGGTCCTACCATAATTTCCAGCAAAAAAATGAGATAGTTGCTTGTAAAATGGAGCTTCACAGTAACCGATATGAGTCCTGATACTGGCGTTCCGTACGTACGAGCTGCAATGCTGACTTGGTAGCTAAGCTACCATCCGATGTATCCCGCCAAACAATGAGATCCATGACATCTGTACATAAATGTATAGTCCCTATCTATATCGCTATAAGAAGAGGGAGAACCTATAATAAAAGTCCTATATCTCACCGAGTATCATCAAAAAAACCCTCGCAGATGTGTGCTGACGATGTGAGAATAGGGATGCCAACATGGTGTCACTCATCCAATCACCACCAACAACCAACCAAAAACACCCTGCTAAATAGATCACAGGAGATGAGAAATCACCCCAAAACTACAAAATCCCAAATCCATCGCCGTCGTGAATAGTTGGGAGCACCGCCAGTGGCGGACCCAGGATTTCGAGNCCCAAGCCACATTATCGGTTCCATTATTTCAGCATGCCTGAAACAATAGGAAAAGTTCCATTACCATAATTAACAATACAAGGCTCTGACAAGTCATCAAGAATCTGATACTGGAAAGAAGCCAAGGATGAGCAGAAACTTTTAGAAAGGGTGGCTTCACCCATATCTCATAAAAGTTGTGTTCAAATTTGGCTCCCGTGAATATGACTTGTATGGGTTTTCTAGAACGAAATGTTGAATTATACGAATTGTGAATAATAATTTTGCTATCACAAAACGACATATTTTCTTGTGGCAACGCTACAAGGGTAGGTGGATCCCTTTCTTGAATTTGAAGATTGTCTTAGATCTGGAGCGAAACTAGAAAACTACACGCATGGGGAGTATAGAGTTACAGATTGTTCGGGATGACCACCCCTTTGTTGTCTTATATACCTATTACCGGAGTACCTATCAAGACCTATCTTAATGGGTTGCCGAAAAAGTTTCGTATTAGCTAGGAGACTCAATAGACTTATAATTTAAACTTTGATGTCCAATACCAATTATCAATTCTTGACCTACCGAGTTTAAGTCGTTAATTTTAAGTTGATCCACTCAATTGTCAAAATTGCCCACTTCAAATATAATTGAATACAATTAAATATATTTCAACTAATACGATTAGAGAACTCAATTATCATCTATATATATTCATACTAGTGAAGGAGAATCAATGATTTGTATGATGAGATGAGAAGTGAGAACCATGTTCCAGTTTTACATGGTACGTTGTCATGATCATCAAATTAATGAATACCAAGAATTCATCAATTTGAGACTAACAAGAAATATCTAATGCTTAAGCTATTAGAAATTATGAATATGAAAAAGAGGTTAAAAAAGTTCAAGAACAAATGAAAAAGAGAATCAATCTCTTCAATTTCAACCATTCAACAACCTTATGCCACTGGTGAAAATGGCTGCAAAAGCATCCATTTTTGTCTTGGGTAAAGATAAACCAACCTCCAAACCTCCCTCTAAATCGCTGGACTCGCACAGGGAAATAGCATTATCTCCGTCGATAGACACAGCCTCCATCTTTTTTAGCCTTCCCCAGCCATAATCAGTGCTATATAGGTTGAACTTCGGGGATCCAGATACTGAGAGCACTCGTTTCCCTACTAATTTTCTAGCACCCTCGAGCCAATTCTCAGGATCCTTCAATACTTCTTCTTTATTGTTCACCTTTACACGAATAACCTCTGCAATTGCCTCAGCTGCAATGAAATACCCTTCGTTTGCCATTAACTCCTGGTGCTTTATTTCTGCCAATCCACCTCCAATGCAATTGCCGAAATAATTAGCAGGCACAGGAGGATCTATGCGCGCTCGCAAATCTGCAGCAATAGCAAAGCATTCGGGTGTATCTGCATTGACCTCCTCCCCAGTGGCAGGCCCGGATTTCACCAAACAAGTCCACGCATAGGCAGTTGTAACAACAAAGGATGAAGGGCGAACTACACCTGGTTTTCGGGCCAAAAGTGAATCCTTGAGTTTCTGGATATCAGCTTGGGAGAGAACATATGTGGCCCGAACTTTATTCGTGGGTAAACACAAAGATGAATGTTGAAAATTAACATTCTTCAATTGATTCCACCATATATCTCCTATTCTAAAGGAATCTTTAATGACAGATCTATCAAAAAGTGGCAATAATTTGGTTTCAATCAACTGTGAATCTCCACTGAGTTTGTTGATCGATGCCCACGCTTTTATGAAGCCTATAACTGACCTAGCATCGCCTATACTATGATGGTTAGTAAAACCAATAGATAAGCCACGATTTTGAAACAAAGTTACCTGCAGAGACAAGACTGGGATTGTTTTGTACTCCGTTTCCACTTTAGGTGGTGGCAATTGAGGGACAAAAGGATAGAACTGATCAGCATCTCGTGCAGGATTAGCGATAAGATTACTGAAATCGCCGTTGGACTCGGATATAGTTAGAGAAACCGAGTCCCCAACCAAGTAACGAAACACAGGCTTTCCAGTGCTTATTAAGGGATATAGTAGGTTGCCTGCTAGTGGGTAATAATGTTTGAGAGTAAGAGAAAGTGATTTTTTGAGATCTGGGATGATGGTTTCCGTGAAATGGATCTTGGAACAAGGGAATTCGTAGAACAATAGGCGCTGAATTGGATGAAAATACACCCATATGAGGTCGAAAAATGACAGAGGTATTGTTATTTCAGATACCTCGCCTGGGGGAGCTGTGATTCCACATTGTTCTAGCAGGGTTGTCATAGGGATGAAGCCACAATTCAAGTGGAATAGGAGGTATGGTATAGGAGATGAGATTTGGGATATGAATGACTAATTGAAGCCTTAATTTATTTGCAGATGCATTACCACAAAAAAAATAAAATGTATTACATTCCTTTCAACTCATTGATTTCTTGATTAATTAAATCAAGCCTCTGACAAAGTCCTCAATGAAGAATCTTATATTGGAAAGAAGCCAAGGCTTAGTGGAAATTTTTGAAATAGTTGTGAATAGATACAATTAAGATGGCTTCACCTATACATCATAGGAGATAGTGTTCATATTTTATACATCAGCCATCACCTTGTTTCTTGAATATATTCTGGTTGCCAAGTTATGTGTTTTGGCATTCTGTCTCTTATTATTGGCCACATAGCACTAGATAGAATCAGAAAATATCATATTTAGCCCCCCTCTCTCTCTCTAAAAGTTATTTTATCTCAAACTCATTGTTAATTATACGTTCACACAATAAAATATTTTGCATGAAAATTCAAAAAAAATTCTTACTTTTTAACCACACATTATCCAAAAAGTTCAGTTTTCCAAAAATCAATTTCTTCCAAAACTCTTTAATTTACTCATTGTATGTGCGCTATACACATTATCCACACATCATTTTCTATATAATGTACTCATTGTATGTGTGCTATACATAAAAATTGTCGGAAACAATCGATTGTTCATACAGCATCAATCGTTTCTTCTA